GCCTGGGTAACATGAGTGAAACTCCGTCTCAAAAAAAAAAAAAAAAAAAGAACAGAGAAAGATGGCACTGACGTTCTCTCCTTACAGTTTCAGGACCACATCAAGACGTGTGGCAAGTGTCGAGTCCCTTGCAGATTCCATGCCCTCGGCTGCCTCGAGACGGTGAGTCTGGGGGTCTGAGGCAGAGGCCGCCCCTCGTCCTGGGTGTGGTCCGCACTGCCTCCAGCCCCGAGATTCCTGGTTTCCTTCCCGCTGCTCCTCAGCCTCTGCTGCAGGGCCGCCGCCTCCCATCCTTGCATGAAGACCGGGATGCCGTGACAGCATTTACAGCGGAGTCCGTTGCTGACTCGATTCTGTGTAACCTTAGATATTGTGGTTTTTCCTGATAACAGTGAAGGGACCATTGCTGCCTCCGTTTTCTTTGTCTGCTTTGGACAGTCTCCCGCTCTCGGTGTTCTTGTCTGTTTCCCCCTCAGACCTGGCATCTGCCATCTCCAGGAAGCCGGGGCTTCCCACGCGAGAGGTTGTTTAGAGACCACCCGTGCCTCAGTGGTGCTCGCTGTTGCCGCCACCATGGTCCCTGTTTCCGGGCCTCTTGGTGTTGAGATGAGAGGGAACATAGCACGAGTCTGTGACAGCGTTTCCCATTTGCACAGAGGGTCTCCCCATGTGGCACACCGCCCCAGGCTCAGCCAGGCCCTGCCTTCTCCACGCCGTGCGCGGCTCCTGTGAAGGTGCAGGGCGTGCTCTCGTCCGGCTGCTTGTGTCTGTTGAGTGCCTTCTGCTCTCTGGGTGGTTATGCCTCTAGCGGGTACATGTACAGGTCCGTTTGTCTTTTACTGTAATTATTCTAGAATGCCTTTTTTATCTTTTTTTTTGAGGCTGAGTCTTGCTGTCACCCAGCCTGGAGTGCAGTGGCGTGATCTCAGCTCACTGCAACCTTGCAACCTCCGCCTCCCGGGTTGCAGCGATTCTTGTGCCTCAGCGTCCTGAGTAGGTGATGAAAGGCTGGGACTACAGATGCCCGTCACCACACCTGGCTAAGTTTTGTATTTTTAGTAGAGATGAGGTTTCACTGTGTTGGCCAGGCTGATCTCAAACTCCTGACCTCAAATGGTCCTCCTGCCTCGGCCTCCAAAAGTGCTGAGATTATAGGCATGACTGAGCCTGGCCTCATTTTTCTATTTTGTTGTGAAAATTTGAAAATAATTTAATTGCAAAGTCAGGCCTATAAAATGAGATGTGTTTGAGGAGGCCTAGCTTCCACCCTGTCCGTCTGTGGGTAGCTTTTTATTTTTATTTTTTTTAATTTTAATTTATTTTTCTTATTTTATTATTATTTATTTCTATTTTTTTCGTGATTAAGGTGTTCTAATATTATTATTATTTTTTATTAAGACAGGGTTTCACCCTGCTGGCCAGGATGGTCTCGATCTCCTGACCTCGTGATCCAACCACTTCGGCTTCCCAAAGTGCTGGGATTACAGGCGTGAGCCACTGCACCCGGCCAATTTATTTTATTTTTCAATTTTTTTGAGATGGAGTCTCGCTCTGTCGCCCAGGCTGGAGTGCAGTGGCGCCATCTCGGCTCACTGCAACCTCTGCCTCCCGGGTTCAAGCAATTCTCTTGCCTCAGCCTGCAAAGTAGCTGGGACTACAGGTGCATGCCACCATGTCCGGCTAATTTTTATAGTTTTAGGAGAGATGGGGTTTCACCATGCTGGCCAGGCTGGTCTCAAACTCCTGACCTTGTGATCTACCCGCCTAGGCCTCCCAAAGTGCTAGCATTACAGATGTGAGCCACCGTGCCCAGCCTTATTTTATTTTATTTTTGAGACGGAGTCTTGCTGTTACCCAGGCTGGAGTGCAGTGGCACGATCTTGGCTCACTGCAACCTCTACCTCCCAGATTCATGGGCTTCTCCTGCCTCAGCCTCCCAAGTAGCTGGGATTACAGGCACGTACCACCAGGCCTGGCTAATTTTTGTATTATTAGGAGAGATGGGGTTTCACCATGTTGCCCAGGCTGGTTTCAAACTCCTGACCTTAGGTGATCCACCCACTTTGGCCTCCCAAAGTGCTGTGATTACGGTGCCCATCCTATTTTTGCTATTTATTTATTTATTACACAGAGTCTTGCTCTATCGCCCAGCCTGGAGTGCAGTGATGCCATCTTGGCTCACTGCCAGATGCCACCTCCCTCTCCTGGGTTCAAGCGATTCTCATGCTTCAGCCTCCTGAGTATTTGGGATTACAGGCACGTGCCACCACGCCCAGTTAATTTTGTATTTTCAGTAGAGACGGGGCTTCACCATGTGGGCCAGGCTTGTCTGGAACTTGTGGGTGGCCTTTTAAAAAGTGTTGTATTATTTTTTTT